AAGACCCACGAGGAGCTCAAGGGCGCCTTCCTGACCTTCCAGAAGGATGCTGACCAGATCTACCCGGGCTGGAAGGAGAAGCTGGGTTACACCGGCGAGTCCTCCGTGCAGGCGGCTAGCTTCGACTGGGCCAAGAAAGCCTAAGCTGAGGCCTCTAGTCCGATTGAGCACTGCTGCGATGATGTGTTGGAAACGCAAGGGTCTAGCTTTACTCGTGGCAGCGCATTGTGGTAAGGCCTTCAGCTCCTACTTCAGCATGCTGCGCCAGACCGTGAGCACAGCAAGTAATTTGAGTAGACTTCAATTCTGGCCTCTGAGCCCAAGCACAGAAGTAGAGTTTCCATGGCCTCCACTAAAAGAGGCCTTCGCAATAGTGGGCATGTCAACATGAATTCTACGAAAATTCTACATATCGGAAATGGACAATTTGTGTCCTACTGGGATTGGTCCCAGCTTTGCAAGCATTTTGTGTGACGATGCTAGTCCGTCACGGCCTGTGGTGAGCATAGCTCGGGAAGTGGGAGGTGTGAGCCTAGCAACAGCAAGGACATGATGTTGCGAGCGCGCTACGCTCAACATCCGGGCAACCATTCTCCAAGCAGACGAGCAGACGCCCTCGTCGTTTCTCCCTGGAGTCTGCACTACATTACCGAGGCGTCTCATGCAGCGAAAGGCACTCGACATGGTTGCGCACCAAGTACAGACTCCAGACAATTATCCCAAACCAACTCTTTGTAGCATTTCCAGGGACAGGGCTCGAAGAGCACCTGGAAAATTAGGAAAGCTAGGGCGACGAACACTGCAACCACTCGCAACAAAGACTTCGGCAGAGAGCTGACATTAGCTTAACCTTGGCATATCAGCTGGACCGGCCAGGTAGCTCTGAAGCAAGCAGGTTCTTGACTGCATGTCTGCGTTCCTTCAGCTCTACTGGTCAACGCACTTCTCCTGCACCCAGAGCCCCTCACTTGCTGGGATGGCGCAGCGTTCTTCGAAAATTGCCCTTGCTGGGGCTGCCGCAGGCAGAACAGCGTAAACATTCAGATCATGCTCTTTAGCTCTGCAGGTCTGGTGTTCACGCGACTGTGAAGATCCTTGGGTGCGCGTTTCGCTTGATTTGTTCTTGCAGCCTTAAGCGTTGCCTCTTAAAAACTTGGTCAACCGAAAAATATCTGAGAATGAACTTACTTAATCCCACTGTTTCACTGCGCAACTGTGATTGAACAGGCAATCAGCCACCTTTTGTTCGAGCGCGTGTGGCGATTCTATCATCCCTCTTATTCTTACTAGATGCTTGTTTGCAGAAACATGAGGTTCACTTAATTGTTTTCTCAGAACTTTGATTGAGCTCAGCATCGGGTATTTCTCAAAAACGCACTCCGCGGAAGCTCTAGACTCTAGACTCTAGCCGAAACATAGGTCCTCATCACTTTGCCCCGAAGCCCAGAGCTTTGAGAAACTCGCGTTGGGAACTATGTGGAGGTGGCCTGGCGTTGCTGAATGCCGCTGCCGACGCTTTCGTCGCACCAAAGGAGGCGCCAGGACTTTGTGGCATTCACTCGTTCACTAGATGTGATTCGGCAGGGGCATCACCATCTCACAGAAGCACGTCAACTCTGAAGCACGCCCGCTGTGGTGCCTAATCATTTCTCAAAACGTGATGCCCCTGGCACCACCTAAATCTGTTCGACAGTTAGACCCTTGTGAAGCATAAGGTTCCTGAACTTGCTCGAACCCAATATCCAGTGGGGAGGCGTACTTCACCAGGCGTGGGTTGGGGGTTTAACGGAGGCTTTGCTAGGTTCATAATCACGGCAGAGTCGCCACACCCAGTGATCACAGTAGGCAGATAGCAATAAGAAGTTCATTGCAACCGGTGCAGTAACAGCGGAAGCAGCAGGAAAGAAGACATTGCACCTGGACCTGCCTTCGTTGCAGCAACATCGACAGCAGTAGGTATCGCGATGCCATGTAGGAATGCATGAGATTACTTGTTTGTGTGGGCGGTTCCTTGCTGGTACTTTAGTACCGGAGGACGGGTGTCCTGTTTTGGTACTCAGATGGCAGCTTCAGCGCGTTTCAGGTACCGTGCATGGGCTTTTTATCTGCTCTTCAAGGGCCAAGGTGACCACATGAGTGGTTGCACACTGGTGAGTTGTTTTGTCGCGCTCGAGGGGTTGTTGATTGATCCTGGGCTGTTCCGAAAGTCGTCAGAAGAAGACCTCGTATCCTCGCGGACACAGACGAGCAAACATCCAGGTGTGTTTTAGAGACAGCAGCTTGAAGTACACATCGTGCGATCAGGGAAGTTGGCAGATAGCAATCCTCAACCCCAAACCTGAAACCTTGAATGCAAACTCCATTGTCCCTATATGAATCTATCCCCGATATATTCCCTATGTAACCTTCATATTCCCTATATGACCTACAATACTCTATCCTGACAAGAGTCCAAGAGTCGAAGCATGGAGGCCAGCGCGTCCAGTCTACGCGGCGCAACGGCGCATGCTCAGGCTTTTAGCCAGTTCTGTTTGGGCTTAGGGTTTAGGGTTTAGGGATTAGGGATGAGGGTTTAGGTTTAGGGTTTTGGGGGGTAATATTGGGATACTGGAAAATACAATGGAAACTACAGGGATTATAGGGGTTATAGTGGGGTTATATCGAGGTAACATTGGGACTATATAGGGCCTATATAAGGACATTGGAAAAATGGAAACTA